CATCATTCTGTTTTCCAGAATTTGAATTTTGAATTTGTTTGCCCATAAATTTAACAACAGCAACAACAACAATAATTATAAGGCAAAAACGAAAGACTGAACGAATGCGCGCAATGATGTTCGCCCTGCAATGTTAATGACCCATCGAAAGATTCTATTCTTTTTCTGTGATAGAGAGCATGCGTTGTTACCTTAATTAATTTAAGGAGAAAAACCGGAATGCAATGTTAATGCTTGTCTTTTGATTGAAAATGAAACGAAGACTGAGAATGTGATTCTTGTAGTTAGATATGTCCCTCGGCCGCGAGCGAATAGCTTCCTTATTTTCAGTGGTCATTTCAACAAATGATTGTCTGAAGCAGTAGCCTTATTTACAACTTTATGATCAGATTCAATAAAAGTAAATTGCACGATCGTGTTGTAACAGAACGCCAAACGTACTGCGAACTGACACAACATTGTATGAACTTATTTGTAGGTGGAATCTGATTGATCTAGTGATCGTCATTCTCTCTTTGGCTGGAATAATCATCGAGTCACTAAGCTGTTCTAATAAACTCTTGATAAATCCAACTGTTGCAAGATCATTGAGAGTATTACGTATTATCAGAGGTGTGTAAATAAAGGTTATAAATCAGTATATAGTATCAGTAGTGCATGTCCGTCAGGAAGGAATTAGTCTGTGAACAGGCTATCTAGTAGGGTACAGGAGGGGGGTGGGAGAGGTCGATAAAGCGCCAAAAAAAAGGGGGTGAAGAAGGTGTAAAGCCTGTAGACAAAGACCTTAAGCCCTGTCGTAATAGACGGCGTAATCTAAATCTATACTGAAAAGTTTGCTACCACAGATTTTCACATCCAGGGATACGTGAGCCAATATCCGTCAAAAATTAAGGTTTTTAGAAAACATTGGTTAAGCTATTATTGATCTTGCGTATTGAACTTGTGGTGTATGTTATCAATTTGATAACCACTTTTATTTGGCTAACACTCAATGACTCATCCCGGGGGGTGGGAGGGGGGTACTCCTTTATTTAGGCTATATAGGTATGTGTGGCGCCAAAGGGTATGGTTTTTCAGCCGTTTTTTTTCTGAAATAGGGTACCAATTTTGATATAATATTGTTATTGCCACATAAGTTCAGCTACATCTGTACTAGACCTAAAGAAGGCACAATACACGTTGTTATGAATCAGCTTTGCAGTAGTCTTTGGACTTCTCGTTTTTGGTACCAATTTTGACCATTTTGGTCTGAAATAGGGTATGGTTTGTGCACTCTAGTCTTGAATTGGGTACGTTTTTTAGAAGAATCTATTTCCTCATCATCTATAGGCGATAAATCCCTAAGGAGACCTATTATTTCAGGTCTGAAATAGGGTAGGGAAAATCACAGATTTTGGTCTAAAATAGGCTTAGGGTTTCAGGAAACGTGCCGCACACACCCACCCGATTTTTCTGGAAGTACCC